AGTGGCACACACCTTTAATCCCAGTACCCAGGGGACAGAGGCAGGTGGATTCCTGTGAATTCAAAGCCAACCTGGTCTACATAAGAAGTTTCAAGCTAGCCAGGCAACACAGGGAGACCTTACCTTAAAAAGTAAAATCAAGCTGGGCACTTAATTCCCAGCACTTGGGAGGCAGAGGCAGGTGGATCTCTAAATTCAAGGCCAGCCTGGTCTACATAGTGAGTTCTAAGACAGTCAAAGCTAGAGAAACTTTGTTTTGAAAAAAAAAAAAAAAGAATTTAATTAATAAAAATTAAAGGTTATTATTATTATTATTTTTTGAGACAGGGTTCCTCTGTGTAGCCCTGGCTGTCCTGGAACCCACTCTGTAGACCAGGCTGGCCTCGAACTCAGAAAACCACCTGCCTCTGCCTCCCAAATGCTGGGATTAAAGGCGTGCGCCACCACCGCCCGGCAAAGGTTATTATTTTACTCTAAATATCTACTTCTAAGAGTCTACTCTTACAGGTAACAGTCTTTTGTCTTGAAGTGAGGGGTGAGGTCTGTGTAGCCCTAGCTGATCCGAAACTTCTGACAATTCTCCTGCCTTGGCCTTCTGATTGCTGAGATTATGGACACGTACCACCATGCCTGATTTTTAGCATCTATAAAATTATACCATCATTTACAGTATCAGAGAATGTGGAAAAAAAAATTAAATGCCCACAGTAGAAAGCTTACTAAACTGTCTCAAAAAAAAACGAAAAGAAAAAAAAAAAAAAGAAAGCTTACTAAACAAATTGCCCTCATCCAACAAAATATTCTGGCTCCATGAAAAAAGGCAAGATAACATTTAAATGGAAAGGTATGCAAACACTATTGTTAAAAGATTGATGCTAGGGCCAGCAAGATGGCTCAATGGGTAAACCTGCTTGTCACCCAAGTCTGGCAACTTGCATCCCATGCCCTGTACCCAGACGTACTGGTTACTGTTAACTGTCAACTTGACACAACCTAGAATCCTATGAAGAGAATCTGAATGAGGATTATCCAGATCAGACTGGCCTGCAGACATGTCTGTGAGGGACAGTCTTGACTGTTAGCTGATGTAGGGAGTTCTGGCTCACTGTGACCTCTCTGCTCCTCACTGTGGATGTGATGTGTGGAACATGGGTTCCTGCTTGACTTACCGCAATGATGGACTAGAACCTGGAAGTGTAGGCTGGATTAACCCTTCCCTTGCCTATGTGCCTTCTGGTCAGGGTGCCTTAGGATACTATCAGAAATGAAACAAGAGAACCCCATAAAGCTGGGAGGAAAGAACAAATGACATGAAGCTGTCCCTGACCTGCACACGAGCATGGTGGTACGCATGCGCCGGCATACAGTTTGTGCGCGCCCACACACAATAATAAAAAGTTTTTAATTTAAGGGGTAGCGTGGGAGCAACAAGATGGCTCAGCAAGTAAAGATGCTTGCTTGCCAAGCCTGACAATCTAAATTCAATTCCCAGAACCCACATGGTGGAAGGTGAGAATCGACTCCTGCAAGCTGTCCTCTAATCACCACACATGGGCCCACGCATGTAACTGCGCGCACACAGAGACACACAAATAATGTAATAAAAAAAAAGAATGAGGTGGGGGGGTCCTCGATCTTAGAGGAAAAGGGAAGGGAGGACGGAGAGGTGGGAACAGCAACTGGGATGCAAATTGGAATTTTTCTTTTTTTTGTTTAAAAAAAAAAGGACAAAGGGAAAAAAAGAATGAAGTAATGAGTTCAGGCTGGAGAGATGGCTCAACTGTTAAAAGCACTGACTGCTCTTCAGGGCTCCATTCCCAGCACCACGTGGCTATTCACAACCTTCTGTAATCCTGTTCCACAGGGACCCAACGTCCTATTCTGAACTCTTTGGGCACCAAATGCACATGGTGTATACATAGATATGCAGGTGAAACATTGGTAACACATTAAAAAAAAAATCTCTTTAAAAAAAAATCTCAAAGACTAAAGAGCAATATTATGTGTGCATACAAATTTTTAACTAAAGGCTCAGTGATTCCTGCTTGCTGAATTTTCTAGATAGTCTTGACATCACAAAATACAGTAAGCCTCTTTCCCGTGGCCTACATAGAACCAGGTAGGTTCCTCTTTGTGGAACCTCTACTAACTGACTAGCCCAAGCAGTATGTCTGACTTATGGCCTGATCCTAGCCTGTTCTGTACGATGTACCAGACAGGCCAGGCTGGTTTCCTGGTGGACTGGAAGTTCCTGCTCTGCTCAGACTGGCTTCTGCATCATCCCTCCATCTGTGTACACCCAGCTGTGCTGCCTTGTTTTTGGTTGTAAGTTTCCCACCCTCAGCCCCTGAATCTCTACCTCTCTCTTTTTTCCTGCTGAGAATTTAACCCAGGGCCTTGAGAATTGAGCAAACACTCTACCACTGAACTAGAACTCCTTTTTTGAGACATGGTCTCACTCTGAGGCTCTGACATTCACTAGGTAGACCAGACTATCTTTGAACTCAGAGTTCTAGGATTAAAGGCATGCACCACCACACCCTGCCAACCTTTATTCTTTTGAAATGGAATCTCACTATAAGGCTCACACTAATTTTAAACTCACCACGTAGCCCAGGCTGCCCCCGACCCTAAGCTCCTCCTACGTCTGCCACCCAATGCTCAGATGCTGGGATTTTAGGCATGTGCCACCACATCCGCTAGCTATGCTAACTTTCTATAGGCACTCTTATGATAGCTGGTGAAGTATTTTAAGTATTGTTCTGTGCCCAATGGGGCCTGACCACACTGGCCTTGCTTCCTTCCTCCTCAACAAAGCTCTACGGAGCACCTACTAGCTGTCTGGCAGCACGTCCCATGTTGCCCAACATGCTTTACGTTTGTTTAGCCTCACATTATCACGACCTCTCTCTACCAAGAAATTCTACCTTCCTAAGAAATTCAGCTGCTGCATCTCTAAGACACAGTGATGCTTCTGCTGAAGACCAATAACCACCGTAACCACCGTAATCACTGTCAGATTTAGTCTTCCATCTTTTTTCCAGTCATCTTCCCTAGTCAGCTTTAAAAAAAAAAAAAAGAATTATTTGTTTATTTTATGTCTATGAATACATTTGTTGCTCTTTTCAGACACACCAGAACAGGGCACTGGAACCTATTACAGATGGTTGTGAGCCACCATGTGGTTACTGGGAACTGAACTCAGGACCTCTGGAAGAGCAGTCAATGCTCTTAACTGCTGAGCCATCTCTCCAGCTCCCTAGTTAGCTTTTTAAGTTAACTTTTCAAGCAGACAGCTTATGCACCAGTACTTCCCAGCTCCTCTCCCCTCCTGAAGAAGCCATTCTCCCAGTGAGTCCTGAGACTAAGTCTGAGAGTACTCTTACACACAAGTATGTAAAGAGCTAGGTTTGACAGAGCTTTGTGGTCACTAAAGGGTAGGAACTGTCATCTTCAACGAACCCTATAGTAGTTGGCTCCAAGCATTTAACAAGCATTGAACTCTCTAGCTGACTGCCTGAGATGTCCACATAACACAGACAGGTGTGGGGAATGGAAAGGACATGACAAAGGGATAAATCATAGGCAGAGAAGCCAAGGATTAAGTTAGGGCTTCCATCAGACCACATCCAACCACCTTCTTCAGGCATCCAGAGAGCTCTCTAGGCCTCTCTGCCCAACCCCTCACACACCTTTTTTGGAGAGAAGACACCCACAGTACCACCATCCTCCCGGACAGCCACGCCCATCTCAGCCAGCAATGCTTCTCTGCGAGCAAGGGAAAGGCAAATGTCAACCTTATCATTGCCACCCATGATCTTTCCCTGCAAAGGTGTCAGCTGTCCCCCTGGTCCCGCATACCTCTCCATTCTCAGAGCTTCTGTCTTACGAAGCTTCTCCTCCCAGGTCTCATTTAGCTCAGCTATAATCTTCTCTGTCTCCTGGAGGCATTAGGACGGACAGAAAGCCAAGGTCAGGCCCAACACACACCTCAGAGACCACCGTACACCTGAGAGTCCTTCCTCCACTTCAGCCTTGGTTTTGGAGAAAGAAGTTGAAGCAGCGCCCAGACTGCCGCCCTTGCCAGTTCTAGCTCCCCTTCCCACCTGCAGCCTCTCCATGGCCTCCTCAGGCCCAATCTGGGGCTCGGCACCGGGTGAGAATGAGGGCTCCAGCTCTCCATTATGTGGAGGAGGAGATGAGGGTGAAGCTGGGGCAGGGGGAGATGATGCAGCGGGCAGAACACCTCCAGGACTCCCCTCTTCCACCTTTAGACCTGGAAGGGAGAAAGGGAGAAGAGGCTAAGACAGAACTGATCAGAGACAAGGCCAAGAGAGTCACAGAGAACTGCAGAGGACATCTGGGCAACTTGCCACCAGGGAGATGGCCCTCCTAAGCGTTGATGACAGCAGCTGAGACCCCAAGGAGGGAGAGCCTCACTCTTGCCTGAGGTCAAGCTGCCGGTTGGTTCTACCACCAGGAAGCTCTTAGCTGGGTTGGGCTGAAGACGTCCTGCATCATGTGACCCTAGGTTTTTTAGTTCTGCTCCTAGGATAAGATGCCATACACTTTTCCTTCAGCAAGACACCTCATCCACCTCATCTCCTTCTCGTCCCTAGAAGACTCTCATTCTCCCTCCGGTGCCTCTCCGCACTCTAGCCGAGGCGCAACGGACAGTGACACTGAACACAGAGTGAGAGCTTAATCCAGTTAATATGGACTATGTATCTTCCCACATGGACATTAATTCCTTTTTTTTTTTTTTTTTTTGGCTTTTTCGAGACAGGGTTTCTCTGTGTAGCCTTGGCTGTCCTGGAACTCACTCTGTAGACCAGGCTAGCCTCGAACTCTTGAACTCAGAAATCCGCCTGCCTCTGCCTCCCAAGTGCTGGGATTAAAGGCGTGCACCACCACCGCCCGGCTCCTTTTTTTTTTTTTTGATAGTTTTTGCTTTGTTTTGTTTTAAAATATGGAATTATTTTAAATAATTAAAATATGTTAAAAATACGGAATGCTGCATGAATCCGAGTGTCATCCTTGCGCAGGGGCCATGCTAATCTCTGCATCGTTCCAATTTTGGTATTTGTGCTGCCCAAGTGAGCACATGACCATTAATTCTTACCAGTGAGGCTGAGCGCTACACTTAAAGACCACCCTGTCGGTGACTATTAAGCTATAGTTAATTAAAACACTTTGTTTGCAGGCACGGGGACAAATGCCTATAATCCTAACACTTGGAAGTCTGAGGCAAGAATATAGTGGGTGTGTGGTAACCTTGACTACATGAGACCTTGTCTCAAAACAACCTATAATTCCAGCACTTTACAGCCCATGATAGGAGGGACTACAGCAGCAGCAGTTCTCAACCTGTGGGCCGTGACCCCTTTGGAGGTGTGTGATATCAGATATCCTGTATATCAAGTCTTCACATTCTGATTCATAACAGTAGAAGAGTTACAGTTATCAAGTAGAATGAAATAATTCTATGGCTGGGGGATCACTACAACACAAGGAACTGTATTAAAGGGCCACAGCATCAGGAAGGTTGAGAACCTCTAAACTACAGAAGGCTCAAGACTTTATAAGTGAGACTCAAAACCAAAACAAAGAAAGAAAAGAAAAACTTGTTATTGTACGAGAATTTCTCTAAGACACATACCCTGCAGTGTCTTCTAAATTTCTATGTGAATCATACACCCATGACTTGCTATATATTCCTTGTGCCTGCCATTTTATTAGTTCCAAAAGCCTGTCTTAAGTCTTCCTGAGAAACTAAATCTGTCCCAGATCCAGAATTTCAAAAGATATAAGTGCCTTCTCCAAATATGTGTCCACGTCACTGAACACACAAAGAGTTTAGTGGAGAATGGACCTTCACACACTCCAGGACTGGGTAAAGGGAAAGAGAGAGAGACAGGGTGAGCAAACTTCTCACAAGACTTTTCAGCAAGAGGACAGTGAGTGTGTGCAGCCCTACCTCCTAGAGCAGAGGCTGAAAGTCCCTGAGCCATCAGCAGCTCCCGCAACCGGGCCACCTCCTCCTGCAGCTCCCGGATAAGCCGGGCATTGGGGTCCTCATTGATGACGGCATTGCATCGGATCTGCTTGGTGCGGTCTGCATACCTGGGCAAGGAAGGGTCAAGAGATGAAGGCAGGCCCAGGAGAACCTTGCCATCTACTGTTTTCCTGTTCCCTCCCAGATCTCAAGACATTGTGACAGGGCTAGAGGCTCTCCCTCCTGGCACCCTTGCTCTGCTACCAAAGCTGAAACCCCACCTGAGAGTGCTGAGTGTCTCCTCGTAATTGATGTCAGCAGGACTCAGGGCTGCAATCATTGCTGTGCGCGAGTTCCCACCTACGAATGGAAAGGATGGGAAAACTACAGGTGAGCTGGAGCCTAAGAAGTCATATTGGATTGGGTGAGCTAGGACTCGGGAGGTGGAAGCCGGAGGACAGAGGTCAGGGCTAGCCTGGGATACCTGTCTCAAATTGATTAACTATATTTAATAAACAAACAAATAAAGTCAGATTATTAAATAAAGCAAGAGTCTCCCAGTACAAAGGTCTGAGAGGCCAACGTCTGAAGTAGGCTAAAGTTGAGAATCGTGGAGCCAATCATGAAATCCAGAAATGCAGGGAAAGGTGAGGTCAGGGGGCTGCCAGGCGTCTGTGAGCACTCAAAGGCCTGGGGGAGGAAGATGAACTCAGCAGTATTTAGGGTCGGGGTAAACAGGTCAGGGAGGCCTCTGGTTTAGCAGTGTGTAGCTATGACATCAGCATAGGTAACTTCCTTGTAGCATGGGGGGAGGAACGGTGGGACAACACTGACTACATTAAAGATCCTAAAGGTGGCAAAAGATTCTGTCAGATGGGATGATGGCAGGACTGGCAAAGAGTGGAAGGCACTCCTCACCCAAATTCTCCTTGAGCAGCCAGGTAAGCACTGAGTCTCTATAAGGGATGAAATCCGACTTCCGCTTCTTTGATTGCTGAGGGATAAAAGGGGATGGTAATCAGGGTGAGTCAGTCCAAACCTTCTCTTCCTGAGACTATTCTCTTCCCAACCCTCAGGGCTTACCAGATCTGCCAGGGCTGAGATCACCTTCCCAAGAGTGGTCAGGGACTTATTGATGTTGGCACCTTCCTGAGAAAGGACAGGAATGTGGAATTGAGACCTTCCCCTATCAATCAGATTCATGTGCCCTCTGCTTGGCCAGCAAGGGTCCTAGGGGACAATCAGCATCCTCCCTCCCCACAGCCCCTAAGGCTTCAATCCTCACCTTTAGACGCATCCCCCGGGCCCCGGAGGAGTCAGCCCGCTCGCTCCCGGCAAGGTCCACCAAGCTGATCTTACTGACCTGGAGTCGGAGAAAGAAGCAGGCTGTGGCTGGGGTGGGTAGGGGATGGGAAGGTAAATTAGGGGAATGGCCAGCGGAAATCTGGGTGTTTAGCACAGGCTAGAGAAACTCAGGGGGAGACAAAGGAAAACAGCTGACACGAGAGTGAGGAACTGGTCACTGATCCATGTCTTCATTTATTCACTTACAAATATTTATAGGCTCACTATGTTCCACAACGTGGGACACAGTGGGACTGGAATCTTGCCCTGAGAACCTTTAAGGACAAGCAAGCGAACAGGTTATACCACACTATCTGGCAGGATGGTAGAGGGGACTGTGGAAGCCCTGAGGAGGCGCCACCTGAGGGGCAGGGAATGCACAAGCCCCTTTCATCACCTTACAGTCCCCAGGTTCCCATTTGAGAGACAGCACTACCTTTTCTGAATCCAGGCCAGTAAGCTGGTCATGGGAGCGCTGGGTAAAGACAATAGTAAAGACAGCATGGGAGCGGCTGCTGGTCTCGTTCATGTTGGTGGCAGCCACAGTTCTGGAGTTGAAAGGAAGTCAGAGGCTTTCATACCCTCCACCTCACAATTCTGCCTCTCTTCCTTCCCATTCCCAGGTAAGCCCGCCTCACCTTGCCTTATTTCCACAGTCCATGAGGTCAGCGATGTCTGCATAGGAAGTCACAGCCAATTTAGACAAGTCTTGCACGTACGGGCCCAGAATCGGGTGCTCCCGGACCCGCAGAGAGCCCCGACTCTTGGGGTTCAAGAGGTCTCGTACTCGCTCGCAATAGATCTCCATATAGCTCACCTGAGCGGGAGAAGCAGGTAGGAAGCGAGGGAGCCATTAGCGACGCCACTGGAGAAACTAACTCTAAGCTCTACTGGACAGGACAAAGTTAACTGCAACTCAGATATACCAAGCATGGTGCTAAGACTGAAAATGCCGGCCCAGTGATTTTCCCACCAACCCTGGGACGTGAGTCTAATCATTAGCATCCCATAGAGGACATACATACTCAGGAGCTACAAGCTGAAATCACTGCCTAAAGTCATACGTTAGTCACCAGCAGACACAGAATGAGGTCCCAGGCTGACTCCAGAGACAGACCTCAGTCTTAATCACTGTTTCCTTCAGTCTTGCCCAGGAGCACGAGGCTTCCTGCCTGCCTGTACCAAAACCGGGGCTTACCTCCACAGAGTAGGAAAGCTGAGCACTCTGATTCACATTAACTCGAGAGAAGAGGTCCTCGCAGAGCTGGAAGGGGACACAGAAAACCTCCTGGTCAGGGCATCCCTGCAGCTCCCAGTCCCAGGCCACTCCTTGTCCCAAATGACACTTGCCACAGCCCCAAGGGAGTAGTCAGTTCCATTTCATAGATAGGAAAACAATCTCTCAAATTTCACATATGCTTAGAGTCACAAGCTAGTATTCATCACACTAGGATGCAAACCCATGTATCCTGTACAGTCGTCTATGTGCAAGGCCACCATAGTTCATAGCCACAGAGAATTATGAACACCTCTCAGTTATTCACAACTACGGTTAACACCGTCTGCAATATGGAAGTCCATAGGGGGAATGTACCAAAACCACTATAAACCAAAGTAAAACAGTAGTGAGCAATAAAGCCATGGCTCCTCTAATGTTAACTCCTTGGCTCTTTTCATGGAGCCTTGCTGTCCCGGTGGGTGCAAAGCCTCTCTCTCAAAAGGGCCCTGGGTATTAGGTTGCAGCCAAGCCTTGTATCCCATCACATTTCCAGTCACAAACAGCCCCAGATAGCCAGCTCGTGGCTTATAATCCTCCTTCCCCTGTTGCAACTGAAGATGTTCCTCCCCTGGCTGCCCAGTTATGTCCCAGCATGTACCTGAGGCACAATGCCCTGCTGCCCCGGTTCCTGCCGCCCCATCATGGTGTAGGACTTCCCAGCCCCTGTCTGCCCATAGGCAAAGATGCAGACATTGTAGCCTTCAAAGGCGTGGAGCAGCATCTCCTCTCCTATGTCTCGATACACCTGCTGCTGAGATGCGAACTGCGGATCCTCCACCTGGGTGAAATGAGGGCAGGAGCCCTGGATGAGTTCGTGTCTATGGCCGAAACATCCTGACTGCTCTGCTTGCCCAAAGGTCCTGTGTGCCCTCACCCTGACTACATCATTCTTATCACCCCCAAGGTTGTGCTCCAGCCTGATGCTGCTCCTGATCACCTGGACAGACCGCATGTTTCCTTTCTAGGTCCTAAACACAACTCAGAAGTACTCACTCCACCCAGAGGTACTTCTCCTCCTGATCCATTCTCCTGGATATTTGTATTTCCCAGCAATACCCGCTACTTCTCAGGACCCAAACCCCGTTTCCTATGGCTAAACTCTTTCTCTAGCCCCAACCACCTCACCGAAGTATGTGACCAGTAAGAGTAGTCGAAGGTGAAGCTTTTGGGGGCATCCTTGCTCTGTTTGGGATTAATGATAGCTGAGAAAACAAAGAAAGAAAAGCCAAAGTCAAACACTCTCAACTTTTGCCCACTTTCCCATAAGCCCTGAGGATTCAAGATCCCACTCCCCACTTCTGTCCTATCTCATTTCTTCCCTTTAATAATCCCTACCCCCTCCAGCCACCAAAGCTAATTTTGGCTTCACAGGACACGCCCCCACTGAGCTGCCTCCCTGGATTGGGCAATGGAGGGCTGCTGGCCAACATTCCCCCTCCTAGGGACAGGAACATGGAAAGGCCAGTCTGCCCCCCCTCACAGCTAGCACATGCTCTATGCCCAGCATGGCCTTCCTCCCGGGACAGGCCAGCAGGCCTGGCCTCCCCTCTGATGCCCCAGCCAGGCCTCTGGATTCACTCACAGGTGGTGTTGCCCTGCATGCTGACCACACACTTGGCATCCCGGCTGGTCTCACGGGCATTAAAGGGCCGAACCCTCACTGCCACTTTCACGGAGGCACCAGCCATAGCTTCAGAATCTCCTGCCCTCCTCAGCTGGAGGACAGAAAAAAAGGGGTGGTCAAAGGCACTGGGAAAACTCGACACTGCCTCCTGCTTCTGGAGCCCGTGTCTCCACACTCCATCCCAGAGATATACCCATCCCCTCAGTTCCTGCTCTTTTGGCCCTACTCCCAAACACCTTTCCCAAAAATATTCCTGCCTCTCTCTCCCCAACCAGACCCCAGTTTGCAGGGACTTGGGCTATCACCCCAGAGTTACCTGGTGTCCTGGCCCCAGATCAGCGGGGCTGTATCAGTTCTGGCTGCCACCGGCCCTCGTATGGGAAGCCCCATCCTACACTTGGGACCTGGCCACACCAGCAGGGCTGTAAGGGAAACCCTGATTGTGGGGGAAGAGTAGTCAGGAGGCACCTGTAGCTCCAAAGGTCTGTCTGGGGTTCTGTGTTTAGAGGGAAAGGGAGAGGGATGTGTTAGGAAAGTTAAGGATAAGCTGCCCCTCTGGAGTGGCTGAATGCAATGTGAATCCAAGGGCAGAGACAGTGATATTTTTATTCCTAGTCACTTGCAAGTGTAGTGAGCGTTCAGATAGAGAGGCAGAGAGAGAAGGAAACACAGATTGGACAGAGGGTGATTCAGAGTGAAGAACACATGGGCAGAGATGCTGAGGGTGGCAGGAAGGGAAGAGAAGGGACAGAAAGTTACAGACACCAAGAAAATGAGAGGACTCAGACAAGAGACAAGATCGAGGTCAGGCTATAAAGAATGACAGAAGAAAAGGAAGGAGAGACAGAGAGATATTGAAAAGACGGGGAGAGAGGGCTCTGGGGCCAAAGCACAAACTGGAAACCCAGAAGACAGGTAAGAGGAGACAAAACCCCCAATCATAAAACCCAAATCTGTAATTCTTCTCCGGAGTCCACAATTCTCACACAGAGCTGACAACCCTCACATGAGGCAGGGGCCACTACTGACAGGCAAAGTCCAAGGGCTACAGGAACAGCCTGTAACAAGGATCCACAGGGCCTGCTTGTAATCCCCAAACCCCTTGCCCAGCCCCCAGTACTTCCTCCTCAGGATCCAGGACAATGGGCAGGGGAGGGTGGGGTCATCCTGTATGCATAATATCAACCCCCCTAGGACTCCACGCAGAGAGACCCAGAATACCTGTATCTTCAAGGGGGTGGGAAGGACTGTGCACAAGGAGGGGGGCTTCCTGAAAGGAAAGCCAAGGAAACAGGTTGGTCCTAAACCCAACCTGGGGCTAGTGCTATGGCGTCCACTAGCCTGGGGAAAGTGCCAGGCTACAGCGTAGGAATGTGGGTGATCCGGGTGCCCACACCCTGGGAGGAGAGTCTAAGCAACCCACGCCCACGGATAGCAGGGTGAAGACTTAAAAAAAAAAAAAAAGAGTTCAACGATGCTGCATTCCCACCTGTAGCTCCCAAAGACCGCCAATTTCTGTCATGCTAGATTGGGCCTCACCTCACCAGCCTTCCTAAGCAGAGCAAGGGAGGGCTGAAGGGGCTGATTTATCCCACCACAGGAAGGGAGTAAACGAAATCCCAGAGACTGGCTCAGGAAGAATAGCCCTGACCCCCAAAACCCTGACTAAAGGAGGGAAGGACACCAGGGTGGACAGGCAAATGTGACTCGTCCGAAGCTAAGAAAACAAGGAATTGGATGGCAAGAATAGGGTATAGCGGGGTAAAGAAATAGGGAGTAGGTGCACAGACTGCAGGTACTGTTTTAAGGGAGCACTGGGGAGGAGGCCGCGGCTAGGGTGGGGCCGACCGACCCGAAAGAGAGTCTGGGGTCACCTGCACCTTGCCCACTGGCAGGTCTCCAACAGGCCCCCGCCTGTCCTCCCTGGGCGGCCATGAGTTCCCCCGGTCCTCCAGTCTAGCCAACCGACGGCTGCCCGGGGCCTGGCACGTCTCTGCGCCTCCGCGAGATAAATAGCACATGATCCGAGCTCTCCCGCCTAGCCCGCCCGGCCGGGTCCTGCAATCGGGACCTCGGAACCCCGGCTCCCCGCCCCACAACACATTCCTCCGCGGGCGTCCCCTCCCTGCCCCCCACCGGCTCTCACCTCGTCGCGGCAGGACTCCCGGCGGAGAGCAAAGGGACAAACTTTCTGGGATGCCTAAGACCCGCGAGGGAGAGACCGGGGGCCAGTTCGGGGCTGCCCCCGCCCCTCGCCGGGTCCCCGGGCGACGGGCGGCGGATCGCGCCCCGGGGGCGGCAGCAGAAGCGGCGCCAGCGGCCGGCGCCCGCCCGGGCAGCGCGAGCTGGGGCGGGAGCGAGGGGCGGGGGACGGACGGACGGGCGCGCGCGCGGACGGACAGGCGGGCACGCGCTGTCCCAGGAAAGGAGCCACCCGGGCCACTCTAGTTAAAGGGGCAGTACACTCTGACAGTAGGGCTCACCGGGCAGAGACAAGGAAACTGACTTGTGGACACTCAGGGAAAGCAAATTACCAGAACGTGGGAAAACTAGCGCTCCTGAGGAGCCGAGAAAGGTGGGGGCGGACCCTGGAGGGGACTTAGGTCGGAGCCGCGCACGTCGTCGCCGTCAGAGGCGCGCCTAGAAGGCGGGGCTTGTTGGCAGACCACGCCCAGGGGGCAGTCCACTCAGGCTCGGCCTTCTGGCGAGCCAGGCAAGTGGGCGACCGGGGTCACTACGGAGCTGCTCCTTCCTGCTAGACCTGAGGTTCCAGAACTCGCTTCGAAGTTGCCTCAGGTGATGGGGCCAAAGGCTGCAGAGACGTCGCCGACATAGTCGCTCAGACGCTCTCCTCTCAGATAGCCTTCTCGTTTGACCCCCGGACCGCCGCCTCAGCCTATCGGTCCCAGTCAGCCCCCTCAGGCTCAGGTGTCTCTTAGGCCGCATTTGCCTTCTCAGGACTGGGGAAGGAGACCCCTAACCGCCAAGCCTGGTCTGCCCATGTCCCTAAACATGGGCTACTACCTCACCTCAGTTTTGCCTTCCTACCTATTGCCAAAGATTTGGCTGTGGACCCCAGTCTTCCTGCCAGAGGTCGCCTTGGCCCCTTTAGGCCCAATCCACACCCTCAGGCCTGGTCCTTCCCTCCTAGTAAAGTTACCCCAACACCAGGCTTCTCAGCCAGGGCGTCCCCTTTCAGATGCCCAACCACCCTCTTAGCTGTGTCTTGATTCCAAGGTCTTGACTATCCCTTGGTCAACTGTCGATTCTGTCTGGCCTGGCTGCCTTAAACCCGTCTAGCCCCTTAGATCTAGGTCACCTGCTCAAGCCCAGCCATCCAAAGACCTCTCAATTCCTAATGGCTCCCTTAGTTCTAGACCCCCTACTAATTCAGGATATCCATTTTAGATCTCACACACACACACCCTTTCCGCCCAACTCTAGCCCATCAAGAACTTCAAAATACTCCTTTTGCTTTTACTCTTCCTCAACAGTTCTCAGCTCAGTTTAGCTGCCCTTGGTTTTGTTTTGTGATGGACTGGGTCTCTCTTTGTAACCCCTACCCGAGGCCAGCTATAAACTCTCAATCCTGTGTTAGCCTTCTCAATGCTGGGGTCACAGGATTGCAAAACTATGCCTAGCTCACTCTTTGGATAACCTTTAGCTTGTAACATTTTCTGATTGTTTTGTTTTGTCCTCTATGCCAACCAACATGCACGCCTAACTTAGGGTCCCAGAGCTTTGGGCATGCCAGCAAGCTGCTCTACCACTAAACTACAGGGTTTTTTTTTTTTTCTTCCCTAGCTTTTTTATTTGTTTTATTTTGGACAAAATCTTGCAGTTTTAAACCAGTCTGGACTCAAAACTCAAACATTAAGCCTCCCGAGCCTTTGGGATTACAAGTCTGTACCATCACTCCTGGTTTTTACCTAGTATTTGTTCATTTATTTAATTTTATTTTTTTCTGGGATTTTTCTAGTATTCTTTAAAAAGAATTAAGTATTTTTGTGTTTCATGTGTATGCACATGCACATGTGCGTATGTGTGGAGGTCAGATCCAGAGATCAAATTTAGGTCATCAGACTGGGGCAACAAGCAATTTTATCCATTGGTCCGTCTAGTATATATATTTTAAGATTTTATTTTTAAGCTGGGCAGTGGTGGCATGTGCCTTTAATCCAAGCATTCTGGAGGCAGAGGCAGGTGGATCTCTGTGAGTTTGAGGACAGCCTAGTCTACAGAGAAACCCTGTCTGAAAAAGAAAAAAAATTAGCCTTAATTACATATGTGGATGTGGGTGTATGTGGTAGTCAGAAGAGGGCGTCAGATCCTCTAGAGGGGAGTTAGAAGTTACCCGTGTGAGCCATCTGACATGGATGCTGGGAACATAACTCAGGTCTCTCTAAGAGCAGCAAGCATTCATAACCACTGTGCCATCTCTCCAGCTCTCATTTCTAACATTTAAAATAACTGCATACCCCCACCTTTCCCCATATCTAGCATTCTTAACCAGCTAGCTTCCTACCCATCTTGGCTAGCTGTGAAGTCATCTTTGTCCCTGATGCTGGCTCTGTGCAGCTGAGCTTTTATTTTGTCGTTTTGTTTGGATGAAGCAAAGTTGAAATTTTTTTTTTAAAGATTTATTTATTTATTTTATTTATGAATATACTGTAGCTGTCTTCAGACACACCAGAAGAGGGTATCCAATCTCATTACGGATGGTTGTGAGCCACCATGTGGTTGCTGGGATTTGAACTCAGGACCTCTGGAAGAGCAGTCAGTGCTCTTAACCGCTGAGCCATCTCTCCAGCCCCCGCAAAGTTGAAATTTTATTTTAGATTAGATTGATTTATTTCATTTTTATGTGTTTTTCCTGTGTGCACATATGCACACCATATGTGTTTCCAGTGCCCACAGAGGTCAGAAGAGTGAGTCAGATAAAGTTACAGATGATTGGGAATTACCTTGTGGGTGCTGAGAGCCAAACTCAGGTCCTCCACAAGACCAACAAGTTCTCTTAAGAGCTGAGCCACCTCTCCAATCCCACAGTTGGAGGTTATTAAGAAAATGTTTTAAAATAGATTTAACCGTAGGCATTAAAGGAGAAAGGGAAGGGGCTGAAGAGTTGGCTCGGTGATTAAGAGCCCTTCTTGCTTTTGCAGAAAACCTTTTCTGCCCTTCTCCAGCTCCTGCACGTACATGGTACACATAAACTTATACAGGCTCACAGCACACACATAAATAAAAAGTAAGTAAATCTTGAAAGGAAGAAAAGAAGAGCTTAGGAAAAGGACTGTATACACCCAAGTCTAAGTACAGCCTTCTCAAGGAAGGTTCTGTGCAACTTCTCTTCCCACTTTTCTGTAGACCTCAGCCTTCCTAAGCTGCGACCTTTTAACTCAGTTCCTTATAGTATGGTGACCCCCCCACCATAAAATCATTTTGTTGCTACTGCATAATTTTGTTACCGTTATAAATCATAATGTAAATATCTGTGTTTCCCCATGGTCTTAGGTGACCACTGTGAAAGCGTCATTCAACCCCCATAAGGTTGCAACCCACAGGATGAGAACCACTGCTGAAACTGTAGACAGCCTCAGCTGCCTTCTCCTTTGTTGTTCCTTTCCCCACAGTTTCACTAACCTTTCATTCCCAATACACTACCAACCCTGATGTCCTCCACTTCTCTGTCCCCAATCACCAGTTCTGTTCCAACTATTGCCAAAGACCTCTGCACATCCAGTCTTCCCCGTCAGCTTTTTGTTTCATCATCCTGTATTACAATGAGCTTAACTTGCATCTGTAATCTTCACTTACTCTATACCTTGAGCTCCAGAAAATTTTCTCCTTGACATCATCCATCTTTCCTGTTGTTTTTTTTATCTCCAGTGTTACATGTTCTGTTCCTAGGATAGCCTACTGACTCTCTTAGAGTTATTAAGCTTTCCCTTTTTTTCCAGGATGTTCAGTCCCCTTCCAATCTCTAGACTTGCTGATAGTCTAGTCCCCACAGCCATTATATGAGTGAATGATTCATTATTCATTATCCTCCCAGCACCAAGGAGATCCAGTCTTGCTACCTAGCCAAGTCCAGTCATGCAGGGTCAGGAAGATGGAGACAGCATCCTTCCTTTTGCCAAGTGAGTCCTCCCTACTGGATGGGAAGGACAAGGATGGGATGGAGGGAAGATGCTTGAATTCTTCTCAGAAAGGATTATGGAAGAACAGGAAACTTCAGTGCCTGGGTTTAGGGGGTTGAGGTTCATTTATTCAACAAATGGCTTCCTATTATTACTTTGTTTTAAATTGTCCATGGAGACCAGAAGGATTGTGAGGCCATAGAGCTAGAGTAAGGAATGTGTAAGCCAACTGACATGGTGCTGAGAAATTAACTCACAAGCAGCATGGGTGCTCTTAACCACAAGACAGCCCTCTAGCCCCAGCAAACTGTTTTTGAACACTGTAACAGTCTAGGAACTATATTAGGCATTGAGGACTCGACAGTTAGTAAGAACATGGTCCTCCTCTCACAGAGCTAGTGGTAGAACAGAATGTATAGACAATGTATAGACAAGCATCATTACAACTAGTTAGGAGAACTACACAAAAAGATACATAAGTATAGAGTAATGGAAAACAGGAGATAAAAGGTTAGGGCCACTGTAGAAAACGAGTATGTAGATCTGGATTCAAAATGAAATAAACTGGGTATGTTCTAGTAGCAGGTTAGGCCAATGTAATTAAAACCTGTTAACTGAAGAAAATGTGAACAAAGTTAAGAGAGTTAAACAAAGCCAGTTCATGGAAAACCTTATAGGCCATAGACAAACTTTTGTATTTTTATTCTGAAGATGGTGGGAATGGATAGAAAGTTTATGGTAGGCAGTGAACAAGCACACTTTTTTCTTCAACCTCTTTTATTATGGAAAATTTCAAATAAATATACTAGAGAAATGGTGTTATAAATTGAGGTATTCTTTTCAGGAAGATTCAATAATTTTTATTATAGGGATTTTTCTTTACCTATCCATCCTCCTAATTCTCAGTTTTTAAAGATTTTTTTATTATATGTGTCTGTGACTTTATGTATACATATATGTTCAGGTGTGTGCTCCAGTATTGTACATGTTGGTGCCAGAAGGTAAGGACTATCCTGTAGTATGCACTGCCTATTCTTTAAAAAAATTGTTGTTGTTTGGTTGGGTTTTTTGTTGGTTTGCTTTGTTTTTTTGTTTTCGTTTTTGGTTATTTTTATGTTTTGTTAAGTTTTTTGTTTCAAGAGGTTTCACTATATGTCTCTGGAACTCACTTTGTAGACCAGGCTAGCCTTGAACTCACAGAGATCTACCTGCCTCTGCCTCCTGATTGCTGGAAAAAAAGGCATGTGCCACCACTGGGGAAAAATTTTTAAAGATTTTATTTATCTTATTTTATGTGTGTATTTTGACAGTATGTATGTATACTATGTGGGTTCTGAGAACCTAATCTGGGTCCTCTGCAAAAGCAATAGTGCTTTTAACTGCTGAGCTGTCTTTCTAGCCAAACCATTCCTTTGAAGCATGGTCTCTCTCTCTCTCTCTCTCTCTCTCTCTCTCTCTCTCTCTCTCTGTCTCTGTCTCTGTCTCTGTCTCTGTCTCTGTCTTTGTCTCTCTGTCTGAGACTGGAGTTCACATTTTCTCAGAGTAGAAGCCAGTAAGTCCCAGCAATACAGTATCCATCCCTTCCAAGGTATGGCTACAGATGCGTGAAAGACACTTAGCTTGTTACATGGATGGTGGGATCTGAATTCCAGTCTTCATGATTTAACAGCAAGTACTAACTCCAGCCCCTTTGTTTATTTGGTCTTGGAATGGGGTCTTACACAGTTTAGACTAGCCTTGAACTTAGTAGGAAGACAAGGATGACTTTATACATCTGATCCTGTCATAATCTCCCAAATGCTGCCATTACACACATGCACCAGAGGGTGTTGGATCTCCTAAAGCTGAAGTCAACAGACAGCTGAGAGCTGCCTGATGTGGGTTCTGGGAACTGACCCTCAGTTCTCTAAAAGAGCAGTAAAAGCTCTTAACCATTGAGCCAATATGATACCTCTCTAAACATATCAGTGGGTTCAGGAGGCAGAGATAACAGATTACTTTCTCCTCCTCTGTAGTAGCATCTGGGGAGGAAATAAGAATAGAAGCGGGGGCTGGAGAGAAGGCTCAGCAGTTAAGAGCACTTGTTCTTGCAGAGAATCTGGGTTCAGTTCCCAATACCCACATGGCAGCTAAAAACCATCTGTCATTCTAGGTCTAGAGGATCCAATGTCCTCTTCCAGTGTGTGTAGGCATTGTATGACTGTGGTGCTCAGACATACATGTAGGCAGCATATCTATACACATAAAATAAAAAATACATCTTTAAAAATAAAAATATGGGGGGGTTATGAAATATCTCAGTGATTAAGAGCACTGGGTGCTTTTCCAGAGACCCAGGTTCAGTTCCCAATACACACAAAACATCCATAACGTCAGTTCCAGAGGATCTGATACACTCTTCTGGGTTCTGTGCGACTTCTATGTATATGATAACACAAACACATATACAGGCAAAACACATGATATGGAATAAAAATAAATTAAAATTTCAAAAAAAAAATCTAGAAGAATAGAAGCAGGGAGAGAGAGAGAGAGAGAGAGAGAGAGAGAGAGAGAGAGAGAGAGAGGATATTGCTATAATGCAGGAAGAAAAAGATGATAGAAGATTGGTGGTCAGGTTTGGGCATTGTTTAGTTTTATAGCTCACTGGATTGGCCAACGGACTAGATACAGGAAGTCGGGGGAAAACAGAACATGGCAGGATTTTGGCCACAGCTACTAGGCATATAAGGTGTATCTTCTATTAAGCTGAAGGATAAGATGTTGAGCAGAGCCTAAGGAGGAACCAAGGCTTGAACAGATTTGGGGATGTTGGCTCACTGGAGATATTTAAAGTCATGGAACTGAATGAGACCACCTAAAGACAGAAGTAAAAATATAAAAGACCTCTAGTATTTCACTTAATGGCCAAGAAGTTGGGCCAGGCATGATGGCTCATGCCTTTAATCCCAGCACTCAGGACACAGAGGTAGACAGATTTTTGTGAGTTCAGAGCCAGCCTGGTCTATATATCGAGTTACAGGGCAGCTAGGGCTACATAGTGAGATCACGTCTCAAAAACGAACAAAAACAACAACAACAAAAAATCAGAAGAGTATGTATCAGTCAATCTGGGGACAAGAAAGTAATGACCACTGTTCTCAAATAGCTCTATACACCCTTCCTACAATACAAGGACATTCTGTATTCTGAGATACAGAAGACACATTAGGAGTAAACATAGTTTCTTTCTTGGATCCCTTGCATCGACTTAAGGGAACCTTGTCCATCAAAGCATCTAAGTAGCCAAAGCCTTCCTCTTAACAACTCCAGTTGTGAAATGTTATGTTCCCTGACTATGAAATATAGAAGCTGAGATTCAGGCTGGGCATGATGTCACTTGCCTTTCAATCCCAGCACTCAGGAAGCAAAGGTAGGCAGATCACTGTGAGTTTGAGGTCAGCCTGATCTACATAGTGAGTAGTTCTGGAACAGCTAGATAGTATGTCTCAAAAAAAGGGGGAAGGGGAGAGAGAAAGAGAAAGGGAAGGGAGAGAGGGAGAGGGAGAACTAGAAGCAGCTGAGATTCAGTGAGTTCTAAGAATTCAGCCATAGCCCATCTCCACCCTCACCCTAGCTCCTATCTCCAATCAGATTCGTTAACCTCTTTAGCTAAGGTGGCCAAAAAACTCTCTATGGCTATAGCTTAGCTAGATACAGCCTAGGTGATACAGTGCTTTCTTAGCATTCAGGAAACTCTGGGCTTGATTCCCAGCACTGCATTAAAAACTAGGTGTAGTGACACATGCCTATGATCCTAGTATTCAGGATGTAGAGGCAGGAAGATCTCCTAAAAACTTTTAAAAACTCATTTATGTACATATCTCCATGTGTATGTGCACATATATGTGGGTACCTGCAGAAGCCAGCAGAGGCTTGGGTCCCACAGATCTGGAATGACAGGCAGTTGTGAGCCATCCAGCCTAGGTTCTGGGATTTGAATTTGGGTCCTCTGCAAAAGCAGCATGTGTTCTTAACCTCTGAACCATCTTTCTACCCCTGTGAAGCAGGAGGATCTTAAGTGCAAGGTCAGCCTCTGTGAAAGAGCAAGTCTGAGGCCAGCCTAGGATACATGAAACCTTGTCTTAAAGCAGGGAGAGAGGAAGCATCAGGATTCATGCCTTTAATCCCAGCACTCAGAAGGAAGAGACAAGCAGATCTCCAAGTTTAGGGCTAGGCTAGTCTATATAGCAAGTTCCAGGCCAGCCAGAGCTTAAAAGTGAGACCCTGTCTCAAAAGAGAGGTAGAAGGGAGTGTAAGGGAGAGAGGGAGGAAAGGAATGAAGGAGAGGATGAATGAAAAGACATGGTTTGCAAGCACGTGGACAGCTCTATGATCCCATGGAAGGAACCACCCCTGAATCCAGTGGGTGAGTAAATCTCTAAGGCAGTGGTTCTCAACCTTCCTAATGCTGCAACCCTTTAATACAGTTCCTCATGTTGTGGTGACCCCCCCAAAGCAAAAATTTATTTTCATTGGTACTTCATTACTATAAATTTTGCTACTGTTAGGAATCATAATGATATTTATCTGTGTTTGCCAATGGTCTTAGGAGACTCCTGTGAAAGGGCCATTTGATGCCCCACCAAAAGGGTAGAGACCTACAGGTTGAGAACTACTGCTTTAAGGGGTGATTTAGGCAAGAGTCTACATTGTTCTCTCTCAGGTGTTCCAGAGTGGTCAGCCGATTTTCACCCCGAAGCCTGCCTTCCCAGAATAGCAGACCAATGCCTCAGCCTTATGGAGAGACCTTCTGGGAGAATCTTAGCCAAAGGTCTAGGTGAGTAGAGAGAAACCAGGAACTAGAGGTAGAAAGGTGAGGCTAGCTGCGCGGTGGTGGCACACGACTTTAATCCCAGCACTTGGGAGGCAGAGGCAGGCAGATTTCTGAGTTCAAGGCCACCCTGGTCTATAGAGTGAGTTCCAGGACAGCCAGGGCTACACAGAGAAACCCTGTCTTGAAAAACCAACCAACCAACCAAAAAAAAAAAAAAAAAAAAAAAAGAAAGGTGAGGCTATACTGTTTTTAATGATCATAAATCCTACAGCAACAAGCCCTCGTTTGGAAGTCATTTCACACTACTCGGTGGAGACTGTAGTTCCAACAGGACGTTAGGAGAGTTTATGAGAGATGGTATTTCTCAGGGTGTCCTTTCTAACTCCAGCTCCTGTTTTTGTTCTTCTCAGCTCCAACTGGATGGGAGAACAGTACATTCCACCAATTCTGGTAGGACAAGCTGCTTCTCAGCCTTCTATTAAAATTCTACCCACTGCCTTCCTATCCTTATTACCATTTCTCTCTGGTGTTTCTCAACCAGTGTACTAACCAGGCCCTATTTTTACTGTAAATCAAGCATCCTGTTTTCTGTATCATACCTAAGCTTCCAAAAACCCCAGATTCTCTAGTTCAGCCCAAGTTCCCCTGAAACTAATGTCTGTCTCCCCATTTAGCAACTATTCTTTCTTCTTGACACAGAGGGCCACTGGTTGCTCCCAGCCTGGCCTGCACCCTCTTGAGGGGCTCCCTCCTCCTGAGAAGCTTTGGAGAAGAAAGAGAAGGAAGCTGCATTTGGAAAGAATGCAGAAGGGCCCTGGAAGCATTCCAGCCCGTGTGAGAGCAGTTACTTATCATCTGGAGGACCTGAGAAGGCGCCAGGGACTCATCAATGAGTAAGGAGGCATGGCATGAGGCCTCTGGGAGCTAAGCAGGGATCCCAGGCAGGATAGCTGAACTAAAGAAAGTTAAGAGCTTTAAGAGAATTCACTGGCACTTAGAAAGGAACTGTGTCTTTGGTGTGACTCAAATATAATCTCTTTAATTTTTGCATTTAATCATGTGTATACATGTGTAGTGCATGCCACAACATGTGTGTGGAGGTCAGAGGACAATTTATGGAAATTTGTTCTCTCCTTCCATTATCTGGGTCCTGACTTAGGTCATCAGGCTTGCTGGCCAACACCTTTACCTGCTAAGTCATCTTGCTGACCCTCAAACATGATTTCTATAATATGGAAAGAAGCAGTTGAGGGATGGAAGTCATATAAGCTGGAAGGAGTGAAATGGCCCATGATTACAAAAAAGCACATGGTTGAACAAGGTTAATTGGGGGTCATTGTTTGGTCCCTGGACTGAAAATTTTTGTCTGTGAAGAACAAAAAGTTGGGGTGAATTGAAGGTCAAATAGTAGCACCTGTGAGTCTTAGCAAGACGTGCTTCAGACCAGGATGTGAGGAATGAAGAGACTGGAATGCTGACCTCCAGACTCTTCTCTCCTCAATGTAATGTCTCCACAGACTGAAGAAGGCCCAGTGGGGCAGCTCCGAGGCTATGCCTGACCTCCCAGTGCTTGAAGAGGGCTGTGAACTTCTCAGCACTACAAAATACCTTGATGTGGAAGAAGAGAGGGCAACTTATCCACAAGAAGAAAATTATTTTATCACTCCCAGGGATCAGGTATGACTGGAGAAGAACCTGGTAAGGTTAGGGAGGAAGTCAATTCATGAACGGGGATGTGGCAGAAGCCAAGAGCCAAGTCGCTGGATTTAAGAGCAAAGAGTGGTCGAGAACCTGAGCTTTTGAGGGTGTGTGCCTGAATTTGGCAATTAAGAAATCTGGAGAGAGACCTATTTTCCCATTCTTGTCTTTTTTACCCCCTTGCTCTCAATTTCTCTCGCCTACAGCTGCTTTGGTCTCCCTGGACTCCTGTAGGCCAGCAGGGATCCTCTGGGCAGCTAAGCTCTCTGGCCTACAGCACTGTTACAGCCAGAAAGAACCCCATTTACAATCCCCAGAGGATGGAGTTGGAGTATGAGGAGTAGTGGGAAATCGTCCAAGCCCAAGCTACGGGACCCAAGACCAATTCAAACATCAAGACTCCCCATTGCTAGCTTCAAGGCGGTTGTTTCCTCTCTCCTAACCCTAACTGTTGTCTCCATCCCATAGAGTAGGCATTCACAGCCCACTTGAGTTCCTGCCCAATTATCCTGCCCACTCACAGCCGGGTTTTTCTCTAGGCCAGACCCTGGTCTTGTGTTCTCTCTGTTCTGTTATTAAAGAGCCCCAAGTAGTCTTGTTTCTGCGCGAGGTAGCGATGGAAGGGGAATGGAAAGGAGGACTCCTTTGATTTTTTTTGAGTACCCAGTTACAATGAAGTCAAGCTAGGTCCCCAAATTTGCCGAGTCTCGCCCGAGGCCAGAAGGATTCTGCATTCTCAAGCATTCTCCTTTGCCTCCAGGGCTCTGGCCCTGGACCTCTGCCCACGCCCCATCCTCCTGCGCCCACAGTCACGTCAATTGGCGGAGCTTCCGCCTCCGGATCCCGGTTCCTTGGCGCTACTGCCTCTTCAGGGACGGTCCAGCAGCGCGTCTCATAAGACTGGCCGAGAGTCCCAAGTGTGCTGACCCCAGGTTCCCTTCCCGACCCCCGTTTCCTTAATTGGGAGGCCCCGCCCCGTGCGCACTGACGTCGACGTTGCTGTCAGCCGGCGCTAGGGGGGGTCGGTTTGGGGTAGAATGGCCGCTGCCGCCGTCACCCGCGGGACCCCGGGAGGTAAGAGCCAGGGCCTCTAGCCCGCCTCTCCGCCCCCGCGCCAGGGGGCGCAGCTCCACGCCGCCCGGGTGTGGAGCGCAGCGCTGGGGACCACCGTCCCTCCTCCCCGTTTGCCCCCACCTCACCGCTTCCGTCCTCTTTCCCCGCGCCAGGGGGCGCCGCTAGGCGCAGGGCCCCATCACGGATCAGAGAGTGCGGGGACAGTCCCCAGACCCTCTCGCCGGGCTCCCGCACTGCCCCTCGCCTGCCAGGTGTTCATGAACTCTGCTCAGCTGCTTCTCCAGAACATCCGGGTTTGCGGGCGGGATCTCCTCCCACATCTGGGAGTCTCCCAGGACCCCCGCCCCCTTTGGGGAGAGCACCCCACCCCCGGCGACAGTCGTGTCATAGACCACCACTCTCGGGCCGGCAGTCTCATCCAGCTCCAGCTCTGCACCTTGGCAAACTGCCTAGCCAGAGCTGCGCACCTGCACCCTGGGGTAGACTCCTTATCCCAATCCTAGCCTCTCTGCACACCTCCGATCCTGAATGGGCTTCCACCCCCTCTCCATCCCCGGACACCTGGCAGAGCCCGCGCAGAGAACCTCCTCCAGCTCCCATCTGTTCCTCAAGAGGGCGGAGGCTCAGGCTGGAGCCAGAGCGGTAGAGGGGATATGGTAGGCTGGGAGCCTGAGAAGAAGCAGAGGTTGGGGAAATAGGAGTGTTGGGGTGAAGTGAAATTCTAGCTGCAAAGAGGAAGCCCGCATGTCCCACCCGGAAGCTTGCTCCAACATGTCTATTCCAAATTCTCCCAGTCCCTGACCAACCTGAGAGAGAGAGTACATGAGGTCAGTTATCAGATCTACCTTTCCCCTTAGAAGAAGTCAAAGAGAGAAGGAAATTCGGGTGTGTCTTCAAAGGCCCAGCTTGTTACCAGACTTAGATCTATTTTCCTCCAGCATCCAGGTTTTCTTGCCAAGCCATCCTCCTAGGACCAGAGCCCTAGTTGTCACAACTGGCCCACCCTTAGCTCTAACCTTGCTCTCCCTTCCCAGATGCACCCTGAGTTCTTTTTTTCTTTTCTGTTTGATTTTTCCGTGGAGGAAAAGATCTACTAACTGACCTCACATACTCTCTCAGGTCTGTCAGGGCCTAGGAGAATCTGGGTTAGACATGCAGGATCCAGCTTCCCGCCCTAGGGAATGCTCCAACACTGTCAGCATCCCCACTCATCCCTTCCTTCATGATCACGCTGTTCTGTCTTGTCTCCAACTCGTGTTGGTTCCTGGCACTATGTTCTTTCATCTTTAGTCTCTGGTTCTGCTGTCACAGTCTAGTTCCACAGTTTCTTCATCTTTCCCAGATATCAGCACTGAGTTCTAAACCCCTTACCTCACCTCAAGCTCCTCATCTTGGATTAATGTGGGGGCTTCTTCCATGACCTTGTTCTCTCCTTTTGCAGGACAGACTCCCCCTCCCCCCGGCCCCTCAGGCCGGGGGTGACCTTGCCCCCTGGAACCTTCACCATGAATACCAAGGACACCACTGAGGTTGCTGGTAAGTTCACAAAATGGGTTCTCAGTTTGGGCATGGCCTTGTTTTGCTACCGTCCGGCCCTCTGAATCTTTGCCCCCTCCTCTCTTGTCCTGGTTGCAGTTTTCCCCAGTGCTCTGGATTATATTTAGCTCCCTTCCTCTGTTTAGCCTCTAACAAAGCTCTTCCTCTGGTTCCCTCTAGAGAACAGCCACCACCTGAAGATCTTCCTCCCCAAGAAACTGCTGGAGTGTCTTCCTCGGTGCCCACTGCTGCCTCCAGAGCGGCTCCGATGGAATACAAATGAGGTTTTCTAGGGAGCTTGGGGGATTGGGGCTTGAGGAGGTGGAGTGCTATGTCTATGGACACACAGTACTGAGCACTGTTCTAGGCCTTTGGAGATTATAGAATTGCAAAGACTTGGATCTTATGAGTGTCCATTTCTCTTCGGTATAATCCATCCATACAAAACAACAGCTTAGTATCTCTTCATACTGAGTACAATATCTGTATCTGACCTGTATTATCTCATATCACTCTAGATGTTAATGTAGAGAAAGTGGTTGGTTTTGTTTTTGTGTGTTAAGTGCTCGTTTTTGGATAAGGTATCATGTAGTCCAGGCTAGCCTTGCACTTGCTATGTAGCCAAGGTTGACCTTAAATATCAAGTCCTCCTGACTCTGCTGCCTGTGCTGAGATTCTAAATGTGTGCCACAAAACATAGTTAATGAAGTGCTGGGGAATGAACTCGAGGCCTTGTGCATGCTAGGCAAGCCCTCTACTGACTGAGCTACTCCCTTGCCCTGGCTTTGAACTCTTGAACCTTCTGCTTCCATGTCTCTGCTCAGGTGCATATGTTTGTGAAGGCAGAGGTCTATGTCAAATGTCTTCCTCAGTCATTCTACCTTAATTTTTTGAGACAGGGTCTTTAAATGAACTTACAGCTCATTGATTTGCTGGATTAGTTGGCCGGCTAGTCCCAGAGTCACCTTGTCTCTCTTTCCCCAGCACTAGGTAGGATTACAGGCACCAGGCATGAACAGTTGTGCCTAGCTTTTTATGTGGGTTACGGGAATCTGAATTTGTGTCCACACTTATACAGCAAGTACTTTACTGATTTAGTCATGTGGCCTGGAGCTCCTGGTCCTCCTGCCTCTGTTTTTCCTGAGCGCTGGAATTACAGGTATGTACCCACATTCCTGTCTCAGAGTCCCTGCTTTTTACCACCTTCTAGAGGGCACAAAATTCTTGTCATACCTTCTGTATTCTGTGTACTTGTTTCCTTGTATGCAGTTGGTGACTGGCGATTATTGATTCAGTACTAGAATTGTCTGTAAAACTGGGGGGGTAGTGGTTCACACCTATAATCTTAGCACTCAAGAGGCAGAGGCAGGGGGATCACTACATAAATATGACCATCTTGGTCTACATACAGAGTACAGGGCAGGCCAAGGTTATGTAGTGAGATTGTACTGTCAATAAAAATGGGTGTGTTTGCATATGGTTGTTGTAAGTGTATAAAGCTCCCGTGAAGTTCAGAGAAGCAACAGGGCTTCCAGACATAGGCACTCCATGGTCCTGAGGTGTGTGGGCACTAATATGAAGAGTGTGATTGTAGGAGGTCTGCTCAGGAAGCAAGCAGTGAGCGCATCTGGCAGGACCAGTGGGTTGGATTTGAGTAAATATAGGAATAATTGTGTGATACTTTGTCTGAAAGCCTTGGACTCAGACAGAGAACCTAGAGTTCTTGTCAGTGTCAAACGATTGATGGTTCTCACAGAGAAAGTACCTAATATGAGCAAAGGATAAACTTGAAGCTGGCCCCATGATATAGGCTCCAGTAGGCAGAGAGATAAGAGGTTCAGTCGGTGAGCCTTACAATAGGTGGCATACCTCTGCAGAGGCCCTGAGACAGTGACCAACTGGGGACACCTACCCAAGTGCTTCCTTTCCTACAGGAGATTGCATCCTACCTGATCACCTTTGAGAAACACGATGAATGGCTGTCTTGTGCCCCAAAGACAAGGTGAGAAAACTCTCCAGTATGAAGAGTAACAAATCCTGGGCTGTAGTCATGAAACTCAAGCCTCCCACCCCCATTTCCAGGCCTCAAAATGGCTCCATTATCCTCTACAATCGTAAGAAGGTGAAATACCGGAAGGATGGTTACCTTTGGAAGAAGCGGAAGGATGGGAAGACTACCCGAGAGGACCACATGAAACTCAAGGTCCAGGGCATGGAGGTAAGAGCCCTTGCCCTTGCCCACACTCCAGCCTGTCATGGTGTGGGGCTGTTGTCTGCCCTTCCCTCTCAGTCAGCCTTCTCTCATCAGTCTGACTGATGGCCGAGCTCGCTCTCACTTCATGACAACTTTATGACATGATGGACAGTCCCTCACTTCCCTTGCATTTCCCTCAAGGGTCCAAGTGATGACATTCTAAACATGGGCTTCTCTTCCCAAATCCTCGTTCTTCTGCACTTCCTTTCTGCCCTTAGATTTCTTTCCCACATCTCAACTTGGGTACTTTTTGTAAGACCCCACTCCTACCTCTAGCTCCTCTGTTCCCTTCTTTCTGTCCCTCAACCATGACTTAAAGCCTGCTGGAATTTGGAAGGGATGGGAAGAAGGTGGGGGTAGGGAGAGGACTGAAGAGGAACTGGTGGAAAGATTGGGATTCCTGCAAAGGAACTGAACAGAGGAAGAGTTGGGGAGCAGACTAGCCCTCCCCCCACCCCAGCCTGTCTCCTGGCAGTGTCTCTATGGCTGCTACGTTCACTCTTCCATCGTCCCCACATTCCATCGGCGCTGCTATTGGCTGCTCCAGGTAAGAACTGAGAACTCGGCCAGATTTCTAGTCTTTGAGGAAAATGGGTTCTCAAAAGATGAAGTGAAGTAGATTCTGAGTGGGAAAAAGTAGAAAGGAAATTAAAGATAGAACATGATAGAAATTGGGGTGGCTAGAATTGGGATGATGCCCAGAAGAAAGTGAAGACTCGGAGGCTAAGCTCCTGAGA